ATTAATATTTATAAAAAAGTAAAAAATATTTAAAAGGACGTTCCTCTTTATAAATATTATTTATAAGGAATTATTATATACCCTGTGCCTAAAAAAACTCCGTAGTTTTTAATAATACTTATAAAGAACCCTATAAAGTTATAAATATTTATAATAAAGCTTTAAAATACGTTAAATATAAATTTAAAAACGTATTAAATCCTACCTTTTAAGCTAAAGTTTATATATAAATTAGAGTTTATTATAAAAATACGTAAGCTAAAATAAGTTTTAATAATAAATAAGTTTGATTTTTAATATAGTATATTATAAAGTTACTAAGGCCTATACTAAGGCTTATAAAGTATAAGAAATAAAAAAACTTAAAATAAGTACCTCCTCCTGTATATTAATCTTTATATCTATATAAATAATAAAATTATATTAATAATACTATTATAAGTACTCTCGTAGTATTAGAACGCTTTAACTTACTTATACTTTATAAAATTAAGTATATTAATAAAAATAAGGTGTCCGTTATAATAATTAAGTATTTTTATTATTATATTAAAAATTACGTTATTAAAGTTATTAAGCTTAAAATCCGTTTTAGTAAGCTTAAGTTTAATATAACTAATAACGTATATAAAGTAATTATCTTTTAAAATATAATTAATATAATTAGTAATGCTAAGATATAAAAGTTATTATCTTATATATTATAACTAAAGCTTAAAAAACGCTATTTACGTAGTACGTAATATAAGTATAATAACTACTTTTATTAAAGGATTTATAATAAGCTTATTACTTTTAATAGCTATATCTAGAACTAATTTATTATTATTATAAAAAGTTTAAAAATAATTATATAAAGAGAACTATTACCGAGGCTAAGTTTATAAATAAGCTTATTAGCTTAAAAAAGTTAATAAAATAATTATTATTAAACTTTTACTTAGTACCTTAGCTAAGATAATTATTCTTAAGTTTAAGGTTATTTTTAAATACTTAGCTATAGCTAATATAAGTTTTTAAAGCTAAGAAATAAAAAACTAGTGCTTATTTAAATTTATTAAATAATAATAAGTAAAGAGTATATTATAAAGTTTTAGGGTTAAAATATATAAATAAAAAAAGGTTAGGATAAAAAATATTAGTTTTAAATATAACTAAAATAGTTATTTTTCATACAGGGGTATTATAATATTTCCCTTAGTTATTTTATAATAGTTATATATAATACGTAACCTTTATATATTTAAATAGCTTAACCGTATCCCTCTTTATAAAAAGGATAACTATAAAAATATACGTTTTATATTACTTATTTTTTATTTCTATATTACTTCTTATATTACTTTTTAATTATAGTTTTATTTTATATAATACATCTTAGTTATATAACTACCCGACTAGGCCGTAGTCTTACTCCCCTCTACTAGAGCGCCCTCTATTAGGGAGACTATATTAATAATTAGTAATAATCCTATATTAAGCACATATACTCTAAAGTTTTTTTTTTTTATTTAAATACTCTATTAAGAACTAAACAGTATTAATCTAAACCGAGATTTCTATTTTCTTAAAATAATAATATATCTATATTAATATATACTATCAAAAAGACATTACATATAGAAATCTACTTATATAGGGTGAGTTTTTTACGCATATAGTATATAAAATAAAACAAAAACTAAATAATATTAAAATTATAATAAGTCTTATAGAGCAGAGCGCTGGCCTTATAATATATATTAAGTCGTAATATAAAAGTTGATACTAAAGTAACAAGTAGTTTTGTAATAGAATTAGGTAGGAGGTTTGATAGTGGAGTTAAAAGTACCGTCTCTAAATTAGCTATATAATTTAGGCATAAAAGTTAGGATCTGTACTTGTGGCTAACCTCCCTGTCAATTCACTGCGCGAATGTATAAACCCCCATGGAGGTGTATTAATATCTGCTGCAAAAAAACTTTGACGCTGTTGAACCTTGACAATCGTCGTAGCCCAGGGGTTCATCTTATCTTGCCTAGGCAACCCATGCCATGGCGCTATGGCGATCCTATCATACCCACTGTCACCTGCCGGTTTTGGTGACTTTGCCCCACCGGACGTGCATCCCGCCGGTTGCTGGACTCCCGCTCTTCCATTTCACTCTCTTAAACCACGCCCGTCCCACCTCTCGACTGTCGCCGTCACCAACGCTTTGCTCACTTTGTCTCTGTGGTAAGGCATTGAAGGTGTATGCTTGGCCATTAAGTAGTCAAGAAGTATTCCTGACGAAGCAATGGGCACAATCGACAACCAGCCCCGACGGCTCAAGGAACTCCTTCTCCTGGGGTCCCTTGCAATCTTGGCTTGCGGAGAGCAGTTCCACGTCCAGCGCGCGGCGCAATACCAAGAGCTGGATGTGCGGAGCCCCAGAGTCGGGCATGTCTTGGCTCACATGGATCGCATCGCATACGACGCAGAAGTCACGCCTAGCGCGACCGCACCGCCAGCCTCTACGAGAACACCACTGCTTGATACCTTCCAGGTGGCCGAGCCCGTCCTGGAACCTACAGGGCAAGCAGTCACGGTCACGTTGATGGAGCACCAGTTTGCAAACAGCTATGGCACCCCTTTCGTTGGAGACTATTCGCCCCCAGATTTTGACTTTGATCACGTTGTGCTCAACTTCACCGTCGAGGTTAGGGGTAGGCAATTCGATCGTTGGGGATCGGTATACCTAGGCGATGTCAACATCTTCGCGACCTCCACCGCCGAGCCAACATCATACGGTATTACTTGGACCTGGTTGAAGGACAGCACCCCGTATTTATCACTTTGGAAAGAGCCGCAGACTCTCATCTTCCAACTTGACAATGTCATCACGGATGTTTACACCGGCCTACTCAACTCCACTCTCACGGCCACCTTCTTCAAGAGTCCCGTTCAGACCGGTGGACAAGCGCCAGCAGACCTCATCCTGCCAGTTTCTGCCAACAAGAGCCCAGTCACAGCCAGCTTTTGGACGTACCCTGAAGAGAACGCCACTGCTTCTGTTCAATTCCCTCGTAACGTCAACCGGGCCGTCTTCTCCACGTCTGTCAAGGGACAAGGGAACGAAGAGTTTTGGTGGAGCAACGTCCCGCAGTCAGCCGTAGATGCTTTCGTGCCGGATGTGGGTAGCTATCCGGGATACTCGCCTTTCCGGGAGGTACAAGTCCTCATCGATGGTCAATTGGCGGGTGTGCACTGGCCCTTCCCGGACATCTTCACAGGTGGCGTGGTGCCCCAACTCCATCGCCCGATTGTGGGTATCAACGCGTTTGACTTGCGGGACCACGAGATCGACATCACCCCGTGGCTGCCCCTTCTTTGTGACGGAAATAACCACACAATCGGCATCAAAGTTGTCGGGCTAGTGGATGACGGCAAGTCAAGCGCCAGCCTCACAAATACCACGGGTAGTAGTTGGTACCTTGTAGGCAAGGTCTTCCTATGGCTTGACGACGAAGGAAGCATCACGACGGGTGTCATTTCCAAGAAGACAAACCCTGAGCCCTCCATTGCCTTCTCACAGACGCTCAAGCAAAACGCTACGGGCTTCAACTCGACCCTGGACTATTCCTTATCGGTTCAACGCGATTTCACGATCACCTCGTTCCTCACCACCCAGAAGGGAAACGGTACAGCAACTTGGAAGCAGAGCCTCTCATACTCCAACGTTGGAGGCCTATACGCCAACGGATACGGAGGTATCAACACGTTCTCGACCATTGGCGAGGAGACGTCAAAAGTTCCTGGTTGGGACTACAAGACGACCTTTTCGTATCCTCTCTACTGCAACACAACCACCTCATACCTCCCGGCAGGAAATTTGACTCTATGGGCACAGCTAGACCAAGGCCTCAAGCTTCACGTGCAGGGAAACACCGTTTATCCGACCGGCCTTGAAGCCTTCGAGGGTGAGGGATCAAAGTGGGTTGGCAGCGTCATTGATACGGACAGGAATGGAACTGCGAATTATTCCAGATACGCAGACAACACCGTTACCTCGGGAGCCGGCCGTACACACCAGATTTTCCATCTTAGGGGACTGGATAGTGATGGGACTTACGAGACGCCGGGGACGGAGCTCTACTTCCGGGATGTGACTGCTTACAACAACTCTGTGATAGCCGACAAAGAAGTCATTGCAGGCAAAGTTGTGACAGGGCGCGCTTAGGAGTGGTCTCGGGTTCAATTGACATCATCTTCAAATTCGAAACACGTGTAATAATTGAAACAATATTTCTGGAAATAGGCTTGAACAAATATTATAATCAGTGCACGGCTTGAATTATGTATTCTCAGTGGAAGGGTCTGCGATCCCTATGAGGTGCCCCAAGCTTTGAAGGTATGGTGCACCGTCGTTGTTGATGAGATTCTCAAAGTCGATTGTTCAAGCACATCCAATACTCCCGCGTTATCCACGGGCCGCGCGGGAGTATCAGGTGCAACGGCTATTGTCACCCGGAATTTCGGCACGCTGTCTTGTAGACGAGACGAATTTGGCAACAGCTAAACCCGAGACTTTATCTAGCAAACCATTACAAAACATCACGTCTATGATCATATTATCAAGCAATGGGCAAACGCATTTTGATGGGAGCCTCGGTTATGCCTCTTTGAGGTAATTGTATCTCCGCATTTCTTCAGAGATGAAACTCAATCATAATTACCAATACATCTTCTGGTCTCAATACCCTCCAAAAACATCCCTTGGTTGGTAAGATCATTAATAATACAGACCTTTGAGGCTTTAACTCTACTCTCTGGAAAGCTAGCAAACACGACAATTGAACAACATAAGGTGAGATGCAAAAAACCCCGACTGTTGAAGCAAACCGGGAGTCGTATAAAAACTAGCAAGATGCCATGTACAACTCGAGATTTGCATGATACTTCTTACATCAACTTCAATCTTCATCATCTCTCCTTCCTTCCATTGCCACAAGTCACCTAAGAAACTTCTCACAACTTGCAAGATGTCTTACACCAAGGTTAACCACGGCGCCAGCTACCCGGCCATCTCTACATCCAATCCCGCCAACTCCGCTGCGGGTAAAGTCGTACTCATCACCGGAGCTGGGTCAGGCATCGGACAGGCGGCAGCCACCTCTTTTGCCACCGCCGATGCCAAGGCTCTGATTCTCATCGGCCGCCGCACGAAACCCCTGACGAAGACAGCAGCAATCATCTCTCAAAAGGGCCCAGGCGTGCAAGTTCGCCTTTACGAAGCCGACATCAGCGATGCCAATGCCTTAAAGCCTGTCATGGCTGAGACTGTGTCTACCTTTGGACAAATTGACATCGTCATTCACGCCGCTGGCGTGCTCCCAGCTCTTGGCCCAATCTCGACAATGCCTGTCGAAGAATTTTGGAAAGTGCTGGAAGTCAACATCAAGGGCACTTTGAACGTCGCGCAGTCTCTATTGGCAACTGATACCTCGGAAAAGAGGGCCGGTTCGAAACCTGTTCTGGTCACTCTCAACACCGCGGGCATGCTCATGCCTCCTATCCCTGGAATGGGTGGTTACGTCGTCAGCAAGGCGGTTCTGCCGAAGCTGACGGAGTATCTGGCTGCCGAAAATCCCGACAAATTAAGAACTGTGACTGTTCACCCTGGTCTCATCCGAACGCCGATGGCGGTGGAACTTGAGGAGGCGGGGTTGAAGTTCCCTTACGATGATGGTATGCTCTCTTCTATACTCTCACCTCTTCCATGATCCCTCAACAGTAGAGATGTTGTAGCCTAGCTTAATTGCTGACACCATTTAGTCTCTCTCCCTGCAGACTTCCTGGTCTGGGTCACCAGCCCCGAGGCATCTTCCTGAATGGCAAGTTTGTGTTCGCGAACTGGGATGTGGAGGAGCTCAAGGCTCGTAAGACCGAGATTAAAAATGGAACGGAGCTGAGCTTGGTGCTCAGTGGACTTTCAGGGGACAGATGAAATTGCATAAATGCACTATTTGAGGCAATGCACCTGGTCCAAAGGGTGCCTCTCTCTCTTATTGTAGCCTGCGGTATGTGCAATACTGTCACACGGACTTTGATACACTATTTGAAGTTGGTACCTATTCAGTAGGGTATCTTGCGTTTCGCAGTTTTCTCGGTTTCTCTCCATTGCCTCGACAACTTGAGTCCGGATCTGAGCTAGGAGTACCTCCCACTTTTGCTGCGATGAGCCGTCGTACTCGGTACGGTAGATTGTGAATCCCCAAGTCAATTATGCGGGGGGCTTCTCAGAACTGTCATCGGTGTCGGAAAAGCACCGCAAGCCGTCTAGAAGGTCGAAAAGCAGCGTCATCAGGCATGGGTTTGTGCGAGGAGAAGAGATGAGCAAAAGTTGGGTCCAGCCCGGGAGATGAGGATCAGGATTGTTTGTAGTGGTTTGCGAAAGCTAATAGCGAATAGACTAGGCAGTTTGATATCAGGCGGTTCCAACTTGGACGACTCAAGAAATTCAACCAGTCCCTAATGACACAGCTTTGTATAGGGTGAGGAAGATCAGAACACCACAAGGTTGCATACGCAGGCAGCAGCTCGATTCTAGAGGTAATCAGACGTGACAGTGCGCCCGGCAGATGCGGGGTTAAATTCTGAGGCTTCACAACTGACCTGAATTGTGGCGAGCAATGTACGCCGTATCTATGCGTGTCTTGGTCCGTCTGTAAGGTCTGAGTTTAGTGTAACCGGCTGGACCGGCCGTGTTAGACAAAGCAGACGAGGTTGTTGGTCAAGTACCCCCACAACTCCAAACAACACTCGAAGACAAGCCTGGAGACTCGCAGGGCGTCTAGATTCTTGTTGACCTGCCCACGCACAAGCAACTTGACAAGATTACAAACCTGCACATTGGACTGTAGCATTTATTAAGTATCTTAGCTATATTAACTGAATTGTGTGGTGGTTGGTTTCCGGCTTTACAGGCACAAAAGATCGACCTTAACGGGATCCGGCTTTCAAGGGAAATCACACATTACGGTACACTCTTTAATTACACCATACGCGCAATGTGCCCCAAGCACGCGCTCAACGCAATATCGTGATATCGATACGAAAACTGCCATGCAAATTAACTTAACTATACTTCAGAACTACCATGGTATTACTAGGAGCATTCCAAAGTCTTTACCGCTAATACATCTCCCATGGTTATTATCTATTCGCCGTTCAACCCCTATAATCACCTTTCACTCACCCTTCTCACCCACGTCGCCCGTGCTCACGGCGGCAGGTGATCCGGCCGCACTTGAACGCCGTAATATTGAGCTCTTGACTTCAGAGGATTGTGACCAATGTGCCCACGGAAGAATGAAGACGCAGACTCTCGTAGTAAAATTTCATGATGATTCCTCAGAATAGGGCAACCTCGACATTCCGCCTTCTTGCTTGCTCATCAATATCATACGCATCATTTCCTGAGTCCCAGGCTTCATCTAGCATCTCGGTAATGTTACGCGCGTTCGCTGTCTTGCCGTATGGCTGATATTTCTCTGTTACTCGCCGGAGTGATTCCATCCAAGTGGGCTGGCGAAGCAAGATAGCCACTTCAAGCCGCGCCGCCACATAGGGATAGAGCAGTGCATTAGTCGTGAGAAGCTGTGAATATTCAGGCCGGCTGGTCGCATCGCAGAGCGCGTCCATGGAAGCGACTAAACGGCCTAACAGTACCTCGGCAGAAGGAGTGGCAGGGCATGATGTTGATGTAGCTGCCGTAATGCCTGGGTTTGCACGGATGCGTAGTCGTCGACCAGTCAGAATACCTGCTAGACGGTACGCCTCCCACAGATGAATCTGCGGTATCTCTCCCGTTTCTCCAAACCATTGCAAGAAATATGTGTCAGAATCTTCGTCCTGAATATTCGCAAAAATGTCGAGCAAGGATCTTGGGAGGCTTGAAACAGATTGAATGCCGCCCCTTTTCATACCAATTGATCCTTGCGCAAGCCGCAATCTTTTCCAGATTCCCAACGACAGAGTTGAGCGACCGCGGACGAAGGTCGGCATGTCCATGAGACCCATCAGCTCTAAGGCAAACCGCGCTTCAGGCTCGGATAAGACAGGTGAGTTGTGGAGATCTTTGTTGAGACCGTAGACTGTTGTCATGAGCTCGAGGTGGATGGACCAGGGAGCACTCTGAAATAGCTGTGTTCATCAAGGATTAGCATTTCAAAATGATAGACAAATGCGTTTCCAAGACATCAATCATCGGATACAAAGCTCAGGAGACGAGACATAAACAATTTCATGCATCACGGTAAGGCACGAGAGTGTAATATTGACGGCGTGCAAGATAACTCACATTCAGGGTGCAGATGAAAAGCCCAGCGTACATTGCGCCAAGATCAACACTCCCATTGAATGATTCCAATTGGTTGCGGAAGAGCGCAAGGCCTCGAAGGTAGTACTCTTCGAAAAGTTGTGAAGGATCATCTGGGTTTGAGATGTAGAGGTGAGTGGCCAGCAAAATAGCACAGAGTGCTTCAGATCTCTCTGCTAGCTGTCGAAGCTTCGATCTGAATAAGCCATCCCGTCGACTTGAATGGAGCATAAAGACAGTGGTCTCGTTGACTAAAGTAGGATTGAATACACTGTCAGTGGCTAGCGCAGCGTAAGGTATTATGAAGTTCAGATTCGAAGCACGGGGTGTTCAATTTTGGCACGCCACCAGACCCGTAAGAGATTTTCACAGGTATGATACGCCGCGCCTATGATCATTTCACTCACATTCTTCCAAAAGATGCCTGTCCTGCTCTGTACGGCCCGGCCAGGTTGTCTCGGGTGGCACCGCGTCTAAGCTAGCCGCGGCTGTGAGTACTGTTGATGGAACTGCAACAGCATTTGAATTGAGCTGTTTCAGATTCCCAGACGAGCCTTCTCCGGCAAGGCTGTCAGTTTCTTTTGTTTTGTCATCGAGCTTAGATTTCTTCTTGCGCTTGGCGGGCGGAGGCGCTTCGATCTCGACAGGTACGAGCGCTCCGGCAAAGCGCCCCCTCGAGGCAATACCTGAACCCCATCGAAGGACGGTCTGGTATCCTTCGCATTCGACACCTAGGCCTATACACTGTAAACATTCGGGTCGGCCTTCGTCGCATTTGCGGTGGCGGCGTTTGCAGTTCAAACAGCCGCTCCGCGTTCTCGACATGGCCGGTGCAGTTGAGCTGCCATTGAAGTTCTCTCGATTCTGAGCTGCTTCGACGTGTACTTTCGGCTAACCGGAAGGCTCGGCTAAGTCGACGCAGTTCGCGATCGTGGAATGACTTTAGTGCATGGATGAATGACGATACTCCTGTTCGATACTCTTCCCGCCTGGGGCTCCGGTATATGAAGAGATAAAAATACTTGCACTACCGGAACTTAACATTTGTTGGCTGGTAGTCAACCCACTCCAGTGGCTATGCTGACTCAGTGAGGCCTGTTCATCCCGTCGGCTGTGGCACGGTCGTCCGCCGAATTCGGGCATTATTGACGCCCGATTAGCGCTCGCCGCAGCAGCCCTAAATGCAAGCCTGGCCACCAGGGATCTTTCGGGAGTTGTTCCGGTTCTGAAAAGGGGGCTGGAAGGTCACACCACGCCTCGTCAACGGAGTCTCATCCTCTGAGAAGTACGGAAGAGCTCATGCTGAATGTTGATATAATCTTTGCATAAGCTTGTTTGATCGTGCTAGGACTGCACAGAACGCTTTGCAACCGCGCATTACCCGTGATCTCTGGCCACGGTATTGCGATTGTGTACCCCCAGGTCTCGTACCCAAGCCATTCCAAATGTTCTCGTGCCGTTGGCGTCAACACCAGACGCCAGGATTCCGATGACGTCGTTTTTCTTTTTTTTTTTTTTTTTCAGCAAAGCAACTTCGCACAGCTTTGGGGGGAGACGAAGGAGAGTTATTGGTGTGGAGATAAAGTTTGTAATGTAGATTCTGAAATAGTCCGAGAAAGTCAAAGGAACAGCCAGTCAACAAACTTGCCAACCCCCCAAGCTACGTCACCCAGTCGGGAACTACCTTGGTCCTGGATTCAACAAGACTGAGCAACGATGCACAGTAAAACTCTTCACAATCAAGATGCCGAGTTTTCATATGTTGAACAGCTGCATTCTCTCCATGGGTTACTGTTATCTCAGGTTTTAGTTATTCAAGTATTGTCTCTTAAAGGAGAATCCGCGGTGAGGAGGTTGCACTGGCTAAACGGCATTTTGCGTGTTTTGCATTCTTTTTGTCTATTCCATTTTATATGCAACCATAATCAAATAAGTAGCTTCTGTATCTGTCTATCCAATTGTTTCCGATGTACCTCCCCTACAGGGCTCGGCACGTCTGCCAAAATATTCTTGATCCTTTCCATCAAAAACCCCCTGGGATTACACTCGCTGTGATCGACGCCGCCCTTATCCGACGGCCGCCCAATATCGTGGATCACCAGGTTCATCAGTGTCGAGTAGAGCGTCAATACGCTCTCGTCGATGTCGTCGGCCTCTGGAATCGGCCATAGACTTGCCCTCATGAGACAAAAGGTCATGCTGCCAAGTATCATGCTCTCGCACCGGTGCGGCCCCATGTATGACGCATGTCTGCACCACCGAGGCCCTTCATCTACGCTGACAAGCTTCTCTGCCAGGGTGCTGAAGACGTCCATGATGGACTGAATTGTCTGCGTCCTGATGGCAGCGATTCGTTCTATGGCATAGGGGTCAGTGAAGAGGTTCTCATGGAAACTTGAAACCTAAGAGGAAAAAGGCAAGTAGTGCTGCTGCAGTGAACGGGGAAAGAGACTCACCGATGACGTCCGGTGGCATACTCAAATCGCCAAGCCCGCTCTCGTCACCGAACAAATTTCCACTACTCTCCATTACCATTCGCCGTGCTGTCGACTCAAAGAGCTGCTTATGACCCAACTCCCACGAAATCCACAGTAATTTGGGCATCAAAAGCTCTCCCTCGGGTCCGGCGATGCTACTACTCGTCGTTTCTGGTGACTCTGCGATGCCCGAAACCCACGTCTGTAGCCAAGGCGACAACACGGGAGTTGCATCATAGTAGTGCGTCAGTACCGTCAACTCGTAAAGCTTAGCAATCGACAAGGCTCGCGGTATTCTCTGGAACTGGCTGTGAGCGATGCTCGCGAGGAGGTCAAAAGACTCGGGCCTGTCGTCGCGAAGGTGGACGATCCAATCTTTCGCCGGCGATGTCGTCGTTCCGTTGATTCCGGATGATGAAAGGCTGATGAGATCGGAGCTCGGTGCTGTCGGTTTAGACTCGGCAAAGTTGCCGTGTAGCATGCGGTCAAAGACGGGGGAGATGCGTGCCATTGTCCGGGAACAGACGCGGAAGCTCCGGGCAGGGGTGTTGTCGACTGCCGTTCCGACGACGAAGACGACGTCCCCCCTTTGATCCATTTCCGTGAGAGCAGGAACGCTGGGTTCCTGAATGGGAGACATGGTTTTGCGGACTGAGTTATCGGGGGTGGAGAGAGAGAGATGATGAAAGAGTGGCCTCTCTGCCCGTTGACGAGTCATACTCTAGAGATACTGGACCGTTGGAAACAAACGCCTCGTTCGACGTTATATCTTTTGAGGCTCTGAAGAAAACATGACCTGGCTACTGGGACCACTTCTCGTATCTTCTCAGCCTTATTGCTATATAAAGCGCTCTGGTCCGTATGCATTGAACAGAAATTGATCTTGCCCCGTGGCGCAGGGCTCTGTTCAGAGCAATTGCGCCACTCTTGGCCAAGAGCTCAAGGCTAGAAGGGGGTCATCCATTCTTTATTCTGGTGGACCCGATCGGACGGGTCAGTCAATCGGAGATGCCACCGGGTTTGTGCAAGGGGCTACTCGGAGGGCGCGGGCGCCGAGCTTTCGGCAGCGGCCCGGCGAATGCCAAGAACCGATCGCTTCTGCCCTGGAACCCGATTGAAACAGGCGGATTCTGTCCATTACTCAGACTCACTGCTTGAGATCATTGGTTCCCCCTCCCCCCCGAATTGTTGCACATGCAATCGCTCCATACTCAGCGGGAAAAGCCAACTTTCCTGTCAGGAAGTCCGGAGGACCAGAAATCTGTTTATGGGGATAATAGTGCTTCATCGCTTGCTCGTGGACAAATATTGTGAGCGCAGCTCAAGTTGAGATGCTAGCCATGGAAAAGATTCGGAACTCAATTTCGCCATCCAAGCCACAAGATGCACCTGATGTGGAGAGCCCATCTAGGTTCCTGCGAAAACTTTTGATGCTACCCATGAGCCACTGGTATCTCCGCTATGTGTCTCGCTCAATCACTATGAACTGAACCAAAGATCTGACCAGACTTAACACAATTATCAGGACCATTTCTGCAGTTCTCTCACAGTAGCATTGTCTTCATCATCATCACTCCGCTTGACACCACGCTACGATGTGCCTTGGAATCAGCACTATTATCAGGGCTTGGAGGGAACGGGGCCTTGAAAAGAACGAGGACATCAAAGAAAATCAGGATCTATATGATTTGGGCAAGAAGATCGTTAGTAGAAAACCAAACGCAACGGAGAAAATGCGCATGCCATGCGTACCCAACTCAGGATCTGAAAACATAGACGGAGACAAAAGCGATGAAGGCCTCGTGGACTCGGACTGGGAAACGATCACCAGTAATTCTGACATCGGCGACTGGGAAACGATCACCAGTGATTCTAACACCGGCGACGGGGCTAACACCTGCAAAATCACCGGCCAAAACACCATCTACAGCACGAGTGGAGTGGCAGTTTTGATGCCAGATCTGCCCAGCAGAATTTACAGCTGGGAAGCCAAAATCATTGCCAACTTACAGCAAAGCCGATTCATTGCTTTGCCGGACGAGGTGTTACTACAAATTATGCACGAGTCCGAGCTCAGAGACCTCTACATGCTGCGACAAGTATCATGGACTTTTTGGCGCTTATATCAAGACCGTACGTTCAAAAGACTACATTCCTCAAATATATCAAGCTCACCGAGTGGCTTGACGATGGACGAGTCCGTGGTGAGGGCTGCGAAGGAGCAGGCATTCTGCCAGGCTTGCCGTACATCAAGGGAGTCGGCAGATTTCAGAAAGCGTCTGTCGAAGCTAGGGGATAGCCTTTTCTGCTCGTACTGCGCGAAGGACCACCCGGCACTTCAATTCTCAAGTCTCCAGCGGAGTAGTCTCGGCCATCAGCGTTTTTGCCGGCTTTCGGAGGGTTCTATTCAGCTCTGTGCTCATATCTCAGTGCCACTTGTCATCCTGGAACAAGATTTACGTTTAGCCACAGTCGATTGGCTTCGCACAGGAGGGAGAAAGAATTTACCTTCGCCGCGTGAATGGTGTGTAGAGGAGTGCTCAGTTTGCAAACAGATCGGTGAAGGGCTTTCGATTCAGAAAATGAAGCCGCCTTCAATTCATGGAGAGATCAGGACATTCAATACGGACCACGGATCAAAGTCCTTGATAAGGTATTATACCGTATCTTGGAAGTTTCCTGTGATGCCATTATCTGATGGCCAACCATTTGACGACAGGGTTCTAGAAACCAACTTCAAAGAGCTTCAAAGAAGATTTGGACGCTTGCTGTGTCCTCACAGGACTTTTAAGCAGCTGATGGAGCCCCTCGATCCTGATTCTGAGCTCTTCATCTTGGAAGGCCGCCCAAGTCCACCATTAGGCGTAAGGAGTGCCTTCTCCTGGGCATTCAGTCGATCCCAGTTGCGAGATTCTAAGATTGCCGCAAGGGGTCCTTGGTACGCAAGGTCATCATCGTTGCATAACAGTCGGGCTCACTCAACAAAATGTCCTATTTGTGATGCGCGCTTTGATTGGAGCTTAGAGGGAGGTCTCATCCACCTGGCGAGAAGCGGTGGGGAGTTCATTCCCAAAGTCAACGAGGTTTACGGTTGGAAGGATGAGCCCTACGGTTTGAATGGTATACTCGCTTCAGAACTAACTTCCTATGGAGTAGAGAGTGACAGTGAGGATAAACACATACTTTGGTGCGATAAAAAAGGCTGTAGGAACGGAAGGGACATGAACTACTATTCACGACAGCTTTTCAATTATATAGGGTAATGCCATATTTACTAATCATTAGCTTCAGGAGAGGATTTTAGGTTTTAAAGCTTCCTCATTCCAACGCCGACAAATCTGCAGCTGGTCGCAAAATTACTCGTTTCCGAAGTTTTCTCCATGCAGATAGCATAAGTATGGAATGCCCATCAGCACCACCAACACCCTTTGCACACCTGCGTAGTCGTCAATGAATATACCCTTGAAGCAGCAAACTAAGAAAACCAACAAAGACAATAATAGATCTTGTTGTTTGACATCTAGTTAAGGATTGTTGGAATAGATCGGTCACTCCATGGACCACGTACGTCCAAGAAGGCCCGAGCTGGCAAGGCGATACAACTAAACGGAAAGAATACTATTCTCCAGAATACACGCTTTTCGAGGACGTGATACAGCGCGTTCAGCAATTGGAAACCGAAGACACGCAGACAGACTGGAAGGAGTATGTCAAAACGCTCGCCCCTGTCATTACGATACTGTTCAATCTCGTCACGTTGAGTGACTGGTTACGCAGAAAGGTCAAGAATCACATTAATAAGATACGAAAGTCCTCGAAACACAAGGAGCAAAGCAGCAAAGAAAAGCTGGACAGCATGCAAATTCACATTAATTTATTGACTAGACAGATCATGAAGCTGCAGCAAGGAAAGTTGGACAAGAAATTTTGGCGAAAAGTCCAGTACTTTACGAAGGCAAGAGAATTCTAGCAACAAAGCGCAACTGTCGGATTAGAAGGCAGAAAAGGGTCTAGGTAGACGGTTTGGTAGGGGTGGTAGGTAGGCGGTTTGGGCCCGTGCAGACGGACCCTTCCACCCACTTACACCCACTGAGGGATCACGGGCTCTGCCCACGAACTTCGCCTCCTACACACGCGCAATAGACCAACCGACCTACTGACCTCATCGCGACCGAAAGGTCTGACCTGCCTACGTGTATACCAACACCAACCTTTCCCAAGTAAAGTCGCTTGAGGAGTCGACCAAAGAAGACATGAGCTATTTAGACAAAAGAATAAGGGATATGGTCAGGATATTCGCTCGACGAATAAGACGCATAGAGGCAGAAATTGCAGGTCTGAGCAAGTCGCAAGGTATTCTCAACATGACTAAGGAAGGGCCTGTGTTGTTCTTATGCAAGCGAGGGCTATTAACTAGGATGAGGACTATTGATAGCATAGTATTCTCAATTAGATCTCATGAAACATATTCACTTCCTCAGGCCTTTCTTCAGGCCAAAGAAACGCCCCGCTGTTCACGACGATTGGCCGCCAGCCAATGAGATTCCGCCAACGACACAACGGCTTTTCGCTGCCTCGACACCAGCGAAAGAGGCATAAAGGAACTATCACGCCCTCACGAACATAGCGGTCTTCACCAAGTACTCAGCAGTCCATGATCCACAATCTTACCATCGATGCTGTCCACGGCAACGAGGCTTTCCTCCCGCCAATTCGTTTCCATCACCCATTTTTCCTTAATGTATTCACATTCCTCCAACCACACACACTCAGTTTACACACTCACATTACGTAATCACAATCCACTGTTTTCGAAAACACACACTCAACCTCGCTGGAGACTCACGTCTTCACCTGGAACCTTTTATTTCGTCCCCAATCTCACCGATGCCCACCGATCGCGCGATTGCCTATTCCTGAAACAATGCTACTCAGCATACCGAGCCGGCCGCTAATCTAACGACCTACGTTTCGACGGTTGCTTCCGAGCCATTTGTATCTACGGAGGCGAATAATCGCTGAACACGGCTCTCAAGTCCGGCAAGAAGGTGTACCAGACCCTTCTTCAGTATCCAGAGCTTGCGCGGCGTCTTCGCGACCTAGCGATTACGAAAGGATATCTGAGGCCGCAAGAAAATACTTTTCCAACGACTATCTTCTGGAATCAAGCAACGTTTCCCAAACAACCGACGAGGATGAGGCTAGAAAGATATTCCGCCTAAACCTACAACCGCCGGTTGCTTGACATAACATTTCCTTCGCTAAGGAATGACCCAAGTGTCGAGACAGCTAAATTCCTGCTCCAGTGCCCAAAGACTCCCAAAATTCTCTCTTCCAGTAATATGTTTACAGACTGGAGAATAACAAATGACATATTACTCTAATCCATTCTTGTTATACTGATTCAAAAAGGCCGTTATTCTGAAATAAATTTAATAAAGCTAGAGACTAATATAATATCGCCTTATGGAATTCGATAGGCTAGTGAGTATTCAGGTACTATCTCAAAAAAAGGCTATCTTAAGCTCTGTCGACCTCTTTGCTTGCTAGGCTCGACTTCAATAAACCGCCTGCCTTCAGTGACCACCATAACGCAAGTTCTTTTGCTGGTGTACGATCACAGTGCCGAAATGTCCTGCCTCCAGCTTTCTGTGGTACAAATTCCAAGGTGTTTCCCTTCGAGAACAGTCCGATGTGTTCCACGCATCGATCTATCGACTTCTCAAGGCACTTGGTGTACAACGTATCCTCGTCGTCTTCGGGGTCAACGTCCGGAAACACCCTATCAAGCACATCCCCCCCATCAAGCTCTGGCGTTAGCTGATGCAGCGTCGACGCAACCTTGTCTACAGC